CTAAATAGTCAGTTCGTTAAAAAAGCCAAAAGTTTTTAAATTAAGCCCAATTGAAATTTAAAATTTGAAATTATACGTCATCGGGAATAGACCAATCATCTTGTGTCGAAGTTTTTTTTGTTATACAAAACTAAGCCAACGAACAAACCGACACACAGAATGTCGAAGTGAACGCACATCTAAGTGACATTAAAATTGACACCACCTAACACCTAACCTTATTTTTTTGTTTTGGTTTAATTTTATTATTAATATGAATCAGCTGGATTTATAAAAGTTAAATCAAGTGTTTTACCCATTGTAAACGAAAATATGATTACCGAGATGATTACTGCATTTTTTAACAATACTCAGTTTACAAAAGTCAGAAAGGTAAGACTTTGTTTTAATAGTAGGTAGTTACAGTTTATATGGAGCAAGTAAAACATAATATTTATCTCATGTTTTATTTTTAGATCTGCCAAGCAAGAATATGGGGATAATTTCTTTTTCTATAAGAGAGAAGGAGACAAATTACACCTAAACATAAAGTACGGCAAAAACCTTCTGATGTGGTTGTTGTAATTAACAAAAATGAAATTTTTAGTGCACAATATGCTTAGGATATGCTGCATGTCAAGGTTTGTAATATTTATTATGCTTTTTTGTTTTTATATTACATATAATAAACAGTCTATAAGGCCCTTTATTCCTATAAATATTTTTTTTCTAATTTTGACATATAGACATTTTTTGTAATCGCAGCAAAATAATCTAGAAACAGATTTTGTTAGTGAACCTAGTAATAATTATGATACCAAATAATGCTGCAGAGCACCTATGAAATTTTGAGTTAAAAAATATGCCATATTTTTAGGCTATACCCTTTTCAAAAATTTTATGCTCCTCGTTTTTTGCAAAACTTAAAATGCTCTATAGCTTCGAACGAAGTCAGCAAAGCACCTCTGTTGTATAAAGTTTTTTCTATAAAAACAGCAACACCATATATTATATTTTTAAAAATACATGGTGCTTGCTAACCTTCGAAAGAAGCCAGCAGAGCAATTCGGTTTTTTAAAGCTTTTTTTCTTAAAACCACACCCCATTTTTAGAATATTTTTAGACTCTTGAAATATTGTAAAACTTTACTAAAAAAATTGATATTTTTAAATAATACAGGGTGCTTTGTTGGAACAAAGTCAGCAGGACACTTCAGTGTTTTAATTTGTTTTTTTTATATATAAAAACAACTACTTATGACACATGTTTAGGCTGTTTTAAAATCCTAAAAATGTGGTAAGTACATTTGTTTTCAGAAAAAAACTTTGAAGTCAGCAAGGAATTGCGAATATTTTTTAAAATGCCAAATTTTGAATATTTTATAATATTGTAGGAGCCAAAAAACGTGGTGTGGTTTAAAAAAAAACTGGGGTGCTCTGCTGGATTCGTTTGAAGCTAACAAAGCATCCCGTAATTTTTTATTTTATAATACTCAATAGCCTAAAATGAGACATAGCTGTTTAAACAAAAAATTGTATTTTTAAAAATAGCAGTTTTGTACGAAAAGCTCTATAATATTTCAAAAATGTGAAAATGTGGTGAGATTGTTTTTTTTTAAGTTTTGAAAATCCGAGGTTCTTTACTGGATTCGTTCAGAGCTAGTAAAGCTCTGCTCGTCTTGTTACATAAAATAAAGGCATTTTGTAGCTGGTTATATAGTTATTTTGTAACTGCATATCTAAACCTTTTATTTTTTTCAGTGGGTTGTAAATATGTGGCCTCATAGAAGAAGTGAGGAACCATCTGTAACATCTACTCAGTGTTATTGGAAAGGCTCTAATTTATCAAAATGCGTAAATATTGATGTACACTTGGCTAGATTGTTAAAGAAACGTCTTCATCCACTACAGGAAAATAAATCAGTACTTTTATATTCTTAGGATTTGTATATATATTTTTTATTTGTAAATAAATTGTTTTTTACTTCATTTTTCTCATTTTTTATTAAAAGGTTAATAAATAAAATTTTCACAGATTTTTATATTTTTGTTTGTAAACAATAATTAAAGAGTTTTTATTAAAAATCACCAATATTAATAATAATAACTTAAGTCAATATTATTCTTTCTCCTTTTTTAAAGCTACTATCAATAAAGGTATTACTTTAGCTTGACCTATGATCAATTTTTAAATTTTGTGATATATTTGGTTCGACAGAAAAAAAATTATAACCCTTTGACATTGGTTGTTTTTACTTAGATTTTCATAAAAAATAAATGGAACTGCAAACATGTTTTACTATTGTAATAACGAATAGCAACATAAATTTTTTTTTTTCACATTTATCACTGTTGTCATTTTTATAAAGGATTGATAAGAAGGCACACTTTCTGGTTTTTTGAAAAAGGTGGCAAGAATTGTGATATTTTTAAATTTATCACCAGTGATACCACATGTAGTTACCCGATTTATTGGAATATATAGACTTTGCTACCACATTCAACTGAACTTGGTTGTTTTTAATATTTATTACTGTGACATAGGCGTTTTTGTCAAAATGTTTCATTTTAAACTGCTGTAAATAGGTGCCTTGTTTTGGTAGTTTTAAAAAAAATCTATGCATATACAGGTACTCACTCCTCTTTGATTTGTTCGAAAAGTTAAAATTTTATGAAAAATTACATTGGCTGTTTAAAAACTCATTATAATCCCTAAAATGTGTTAATTAGGTAAATTAAATTAAAAAAACAAACAAAAAAAATTTATTAAATTAATGTTTACTCTTACAAAATAGGTTCTTGTAAGTTAACAAGCAATTATGCAGATATTACTAAGTAAATGTTCTTGCTTAAAATTCACACACGAATGTGGTTTTAACATGTTAAATTAACTAACCCTTCTTATAACTCTTACACATGTATTCTTAGAGATGCTATTCTTTTACTTAATTGTACATCTTCTGGAGAACTTTTTTCATTCTGTGATACACTAGGTGTGGCTTTACTAAAGGCATCTCATGTTTTCAAGTAGCTGAATATTCTGAAACCCCTATCTGCCATTATATGGGATCCAGGAACCAGTTTGTTTAAATACCCACATTTTTTTATTATTTTTTTATCACTAGTTCTTCCACAAAATGATGAATAAATTCGGTATCTTCAAAACTTTCAGGAGATTCTGCATTTTCTTCCAGAAGGGTTTTTAGGTTATACACACACATTTATAGTAGCCTCATTTTTAATTTCCTCAAGGGGACAATTAGCAGAAATTGCTGCTACATCTTGATAATCCGGTGTATTTTTATTAAAAAGTTTACGAGAATCATCGCTAGTAGAAGGTTGATTTTCTTCTTTCCAAATTTCTAGGAACACTAATAAATATTTTTGAAGATGAATGTGAATAATTATCACATTCTGGAACAAAACACTTTTTCGTAGTCATAATATTTATAAAAAGTACAAAATTAAACACTCAAATTCCAAATAAATTCTTGATCGAGACACTATGATGACAGATGCCATACACAGTAATGCCATTTTGCCATTTTCTGAATTATTAAGTGACTTTTAAAACAATGAAACTTTAAATATGGTAAAAGTTTAAACAGAAATAATACTTTCAAAAAACATTTGATATTATATATTTAAAAGATATTTGTTTAACGATGTTTTAGAAGTCTAAAAGTAAGAAGGAGTACACAAACGAACGTACATCACTTCTCGTATACCTTCTAGCCGGCAACGTTGTGCGCTAGCTCCTATTGGTCTATTCCCGGTGACGTCATAAATTTTAAAAAAATTCATAACTGCGGCAAATGAATAGATAAAAAAAAATAAAAAAAATGTAGTTTTATTTTTAACTCTTTTATTCATAAAAAAAATTTCAAAATTTTTGAACATGCCCCATTGTCTTTGAACTTTTTGAAAACATAAACAATATTATATTTTGAAAATTAAATATTTATTTGCAGGTAACATGCCTTAGTTTTGTATATTTAGAAAAAAGTTTTTAAGGTTTTTTTAGTACCTGCTTTTTCTGAGAATTACAGATTATAGATATAAAGGTTGAGAATTTTCCTTTGAAAAATATAAGTGATTACTAAGCATTTTTCATTTTTACTGAAAATCAGATATTATCTATAATATGGACCTGAATAATTTCTTTCCAGTGTAAAGAAGTACTTACTTATCTTTTAGCTGCTGATAACCATTCTTTTATATCTTGACCGGAATAATAGCATGTATTATAACTGATCGGATTTAGCTGACACATTGTAGATTTTTAAGTTTGGTATATGAATTTGTTTTATCTTTTTATACAATGACATTTAGTTTGCTATATTTTAATGTCCTTACATGACCTAACGTATACCTATTGTTTTAATAAGTATGTCTAAGTAATTTTCAAATATTGTTTTTTTTTTAATTAATGACAAAGATAAGAAAAACAGTTAAAGTGTTTATTTTTATCAAAACAAGGACTACCGAGAAATTTTTTTATATTTCATTTTTAGAAAATCTGATAAACTTGCAAGTTTTTATTCAATATCAAATAATAGTACTTAAACTACATCCTCTATATTTGATTAGATATTAAAAGAAGAGATAAATGGGAGTATTAAATGTTTTAAATTTTTTATTATTAAGTAATACCCAACAATTTCGACAATTAGTGATCATAAGAGCTCATTTTAAATTATATTTCGCTTAATTATATTTAAAATATTTAAACAAAACCTAATGAAAACAAAACCAGAACAAATATAAGATTTACCTTATCAATTTCTGAACAATCCATTTCCTTTCATTAAACAATAAAATCCTCACAAAATCAGATTAACCAGAACATTCAAAATCATTTGCATTAATTGATATAATCAGCTCATGTACTATTACGAATTTAAGTAAAAGTACCTAACGAGATAACCAAATTCTGCGCATGACGAGATAGTGCATGCATTCTCTATCTCACGTCGAACCTCAGGAGACATAAAGTACCGCAAACCTGACAATTCACTCACAGTTAAGCGCGCGAATCGAATGGTACCATAAGTGAAAGTTTACATCATTACGAAAATGACGACCGAAACGAAAATACGTGCCGCATTAAAAACAAATCGACAAGAACACCTCCTGCAATTCTACGAAGAGCTAAGCGAAGATCGAAAAACAACGTTCCTCGACCAACTAAGAACCATCGACTTCGATCAAGTGAACCATCTCTTCGAAGCTGCACAGGAATCTTTAAATGGCCAAGGAACTAAATTAGATAACAAAATGAAACCTGTACCAGCTGATAAATTCGAAGCAGAAGAAAGTACGCGCTCGGATCTACTGGCGTCATACCGAAAAACCGGTTTAGAAGAAATATCAAAGGGCCACGTAGCAGTACTACTTATGGCTGGCGGTCAAGGTACCCGTCTTGGTGTTAGCTACCCCAAAGGGATGTATTCCGTTGGTTTACCGTCTGGGAAAACTCTATTCCAAATCCAAGCGGAACGCATAAGGAAACTCATCAGCTTAGCCAAACAGCAAACTGGAGTATCAGGCAAAATTACTTGGTATATAATGACCAGCGGTCCTACTAACGCTACCACGGAACAATTCCTAAGAAAAAACGATTATTTCGGACTCAACAGTAAAGATGTCGTCCTTTTCCAGCAAGGATTACTGCCTTGCTTCGATTTCGAGGGTAAAATCTTTCTGGAAGAAAAGGATTCCGTTGCGCTAGCTCCTGACGGTAACGGTGGCATCTACAGAGCTCTTAAAGAAAGCGGGGTTTTGGACGACATGAAATCCAGAGGTGTTAAACACGTACACGCCCACAGCGTTGATAACATCTTAGTAAAAGTTGCTGATCCAGTATTCATCGGATACTGCGTGAAAAAACAAGCTGACTGCGGAGCTAAAGTAGTCAAAAAATCAGGTCCTAACGAAGCAGTTGGTGTTGTGTGTCAAGTTGACGGAAAGTTTCAAGTAGTCGAATACAGCGAAATCACAGAATCCACAGCAAACTTAAAAGCCAAAGATGGCAGCTTGATGTTTAACTCTGGTAATATCTGCAATCATTTCTTTTCAACGAATTTTTTGATTAAGATTGCGGATACTTTTGAATCGCAGCTTAAACTTCACGTGGCCAAAAAGAAGATTCCTCACATAAGTTCGAGCGGGGATAAAATTAAACCTACTACACCGAACGGGATCAAGATTGAAAAATTCGTGTTTGATGTGTTCGAGTTTACAAACAATTTTGTTACTTGGGAAGTACCGCGTTATAGTGAGTTTAGTGCGCTTAAAAATGCAGATAATGCTGACAACTCAGCTGTCGATTGTCCGAGTACTTCTAGGAGGGATTTGCTGAGGTTGCACAAGAGGTATATCGAAGAGGCTGGTGGTACAGTTAACTGTGAAGAAGTGGAAATTTCCCCGCTACTTTCTTATGCGGGGGAAAATCTTGAAATTAGAGTTAAGGGTAAGGTGTTTGATGAGAAAACTGTGATATTTTCTGACGAAGAATTGCTTATTTTAAATAACAATAATAACTTTGATGAAACTGTGTATTCTAATGGTAAAACTCATTGAAAATTTTTAAATTAGTTTTATGAAATAAATGTTTTAGTTAAAATTAAAATCCTAAATTAAAAAAGAGTACCAATTTGTACCAAAAGATGTTCGTATTTTTTTGTTGACTCATTTTTTCGAATTTAAGAAATATAAATTTATTTTTTCTAAATTTTTGTTTACTATCGTTTACTTTTCTGTATATTTTTATATATATTTAATTATTGTAAATTAATTATTTTATTTTTATTAATAATACTTAAAATGCACGTGATATTATTAGCAATTTAAATATTATAAATACAGGGTGTTCTATTAGTGCGTAATTGTTTAATATTTCAATTTGTGTTATAGACACCCAAAGTTTTATATAAAAATTATATTGATTTAGAAAATAGAAATTTTAAAAATATTTTTGGATTACAGAATGTTAAATTTTTGCCTGAAAAATAAAAAAGTATATTTTTTAAATAGAACATCCTATATTTTATTTAATTTTTAGAATGATTTGGTAATACTATATTAAATCCTGGATTTTTTAAAAAACATTACAGGGTTGCCAAACGATTAATTTTTTTATGAAACTAGAAAAGGTTGCAGGCCCAAAATTAAATTATTATTTTTTAGGTAGATTCACATTGATTTTAAAATTGTTTACCATACTATATATATAAGATACTAACCTAACGGATAGTGCTGATATAACTGGTTTATTTTACACATGCCGAGATATTTGACAAAATCTCTAATATTTCCATAAAAAAATAAACAAAGGGGGACAATGGGAAAATTTCAGTGTCTTTTTGATTTTAAAGTTTTGAGATATCGCAATATTTATATATACCATTTTTCAGGTCTCTTAAAGACAAATTCAACGCCGTAAACCGCATCTTTCTACTTCAAACAAATATGCCGAGATATTTAACAAAAACTAATATTTTTGTTAAATTTTCTCTTAAAATTTTTTTTGGAATTTTTTTTTTGTCAATTTAGTTTTTTAAAATTTTTTTTTTTGCTGAAATTTTTTTGTCAATTTTTTTTTGTCAAATTTTGTTCATTTTATTTTTTTGTGTCAATTTTTTTTTAATTTTGTTTCGTCAAGTTCTTTGTCAAATTTTTATTTTTGTAAAAATTTTTTTTGTCAATTTTTTTTTCAAATTATTTTTGATAAAATTTCTTTTGTTAAAATTCCAACTCCAATATTTCTATTAAAAAATAAACAGTGTATTTTCGATTTTAACATTTTGAGATATCTCAATATTTATTTATACCGTTTTATAGGCCTCTTAAAGACAAATTCAACGCCGTAAACAGCATCTTTCTATTTCGTTTTTAAATAAGAGTAAAACTATTTTAAATCTATTTAGCGTCATTACTTAAAAATTGAAGTTTAAAACGTTTATTTTCCGTAAAATAAATACTTTTTGAATCATGTCTTAAATTTTGCTAATTTTAAGTTTAATTTACCAAATTTTTTTAGATGCAACACCCTGTTAATTATTTTACCATAAAATTGTTCATACATTTGACTATCCAATGATACCAACATATACAGGATGTCCCATGAGTTCGTAATTGATCGACAGCTGTTTTCTTATTACAAATACGAAGACATTTTTAAAATAAAAGTTGTATGACCATATTTAACAATTATTCCTAAATATACAGGGTGGTCCATAAACTAGGTACTGACCAAATTTATACTTTTTCAAAGCAAAACACCCTGCAGGTAGACATACGTATTTGATAGTTTTCACATCGTCAAACAATATACAGTGTGTCAAAACGCTAGGTTACGATTTTATCAAACTTAATAATGGAATACCCGGTATTAATTCATTAGTGATTTAACATACAGGGCAATCCATTTCAAAATTGCAGATTATTTTGCTTTAAAAAGAGTAGAGGTTTGGTCAGCATCTAGTTTATGGACCATCCTGTATATTTAAGAATAATTGTTACATATGATAATATAACTTTTTAATTAAAAGTATCTTAATGTTTCAAATAATAAAACAGCTATCAATCAGTTACGCACTGACGGGACACCCTGTATATGGGTTATTGGCTAACATGTTGGTATCATTGGATAGGTAAACTTATTAGAAATTTCATGCTAAAATATTACACAGGGTGTTGCATTTGAAAAATTTTAAAAATTTGAACTTCAAATTAGCCATATTTAAGACATGTTTCAAGACACTTTGTATAAAATAAACCAGTTTTATTACCACTACTGGTTAGATAGGTAACTTATGAGTATGTATGTTAAACATTTTTAAAATCCATGTCTAAATTATGATATTTTTAAAAAAATTGTAAGGTTAAATACAGTATTACTAAACTATTTTGAAACTGAAATAAAATACAGGGTATATAAATAAAAAAATATACATTTTTATTTGTCAGACAAAAACGTAACACCCTGTATATGCAAAAATATTTTTAAATTACGTATTTTTAAAATCCATATAACTTTTATTTGAAACCTATTTGCGGGTCTTTAATACAAATTAAAATATTGAACAATTACCCAATAATGGCACACCCTGTATATAGTGGTAATTCTGTAATTAAATGTTTTAACGGGAATTAGATGTAACGATAAGTGTAATTCTTCAAAAACGAAAATTAACGTATGGGTTAAAAAAAGTTAAAATTTGCAAAAAAGTATGGTTAAGTTTTAAGGTCTTTGAAATTAATGTCATTTTCTTTGTCTTATTTATTGTATAAATGTCTGTTTGTGTACTATCAAAATTACTTATATATCTAAAAATTGCTTAATTTTCATGATTTTCTTGTAACATATGTTGAAAGAAACAATCAAATGTCATAATTAACTATATTTTAGGTAAGTTATAAAGCCCACTAATGGGATATGCGTTAACTTTCATATTTTAAAACCTGAAATTAACACAATTGAGTTAAATTTTAACATATTTCTGCTCATTCTAAATTTACAAAATTGTTTTTCATGTTTCACATTTACTTTATAATTTTAACACTAATAAAATTTCAACATATTTGTTATAGAACTACCACTATGGAGTATTTTTACTATAATTCAACGTTGCTATAAAATCAAAAATAGGGATTATTATTTATTCTTTATTGCAGTATCTTTAATTTATTAAAAAACAATAAAAAATCACATTTTTAGTGGAAAAGATAGCCCTGGACTATTCGATATTTCATCACTTCATGGCCACCAACTTTATATTTTATATAAATTAACATCATTTGACATTTTAAAATATATTTAAAAATAAATGGGCGTGGAAAAAAATGAATAGGAAATTTTGGTTTTCCCTATATAATTTGTTAAATGATCGAAACTATTATATAAATTTATTTTTGTAGTTTTGTTTACTTCTATCTCTTCCTCTTTCGAAAACAACAACGTTGAATTACTATTAAAAAACACCATGTATAAAATAAGTTAAAAAAAACGAAATATATTTTTTATAGGTAATTAAATAAGTATTAAGTACTAATAAATATTACTTTATTTTTTCATTGTTTTGTTTATAGGAACTCTTAATTTTATTGTTCCTTTTTTTATATATAAATATTGTAAATTTTGAACGAGTTATACATAATAGATGAATTAAAGTTAAATATTGTTTTATTTTTAAAAAAATATTTTTTGTTACACAGTAAATTGTATAAACAATTAATTGTGTGTTTTATAAATATCATAATCCTTAGAAAATCACGTAGGCATTTAGAAACAAAATAGATTAGATTTAATCAAAAATATGAATGTCGTGACTTTTTAGGAAAAAAAATATAACGTTTTAAGGAGCTAAAAAAAATTGAAACTGTTGAGTTCACAAAAAAAATATTGTAATAATACAGGGTATATGCAAAAGTTTGGGACATGGCCTAACTAGACTTCTGAGATAAAATATGATTTAACACAACTTCAGTGGCGGGGCAAGATATAAATTTGATGTGGGCAAGATACATTTTTGCGAGGCCCTCTAGTGGCGCAGGAAGACGGGTTTTATCTACTCTTTAACTAACATTAAAAAGTAATAATTACTAAAAAATAATTAAAGAAATATACATTTCCTGCTTTCACCTTCGTAGTCTAATTAACAAGTTCAAAAGCGTGTTTTTGGGACATACTATTACGAAAATTATGTTCAATAGCTCATTTGATTCGAAATAATATCTAGATCAATGTGTGAAGAAAAATTTTGCATTGCATAAAAAATTGCAAAAGTTATAAACAATTAAACACCTCAAAAACATGGTGTTTGGTTTTTCGCAAATTGTTTGTAAACTATAAATATTTTTGGATTTTTCAAAAAAGATCCTTAAAGAGGAGGAAATTTGCTATTAATAAGTTTCGAGTCCCGGAACTGTGCCTCTATTATTTATAATTTTAATTTAAGAGCCCCGCATACCGCCTGATCAATTCAAATGCGGGATTTGCTGGTTGCGTCGTCTCTAACATCCATCTCTTTTTATCGAAATAAACAATATCAACTGAGAATACATTGAAAAAGTTGTTTCTAAATTCGGATACGCGTATATAAATACGGTAATAGAAGCGAAACGACGCGACGGTTAGCAAAAAAACTGTGTTTTACCGTTTTTTAAACTATATACGCCAATATGACGAAAACTGTTCAAAAATTCGTAAAAATTTATTCTTGATTATTATTAGTCAAAAGCTTAAGGATTCTAATAGTTTTCAAATCATATTTTTATCATAAGTCATAAGCGAGATAATTAAGGTAAACTAACATTATGTCACAATATGCTTGATGTACAGAAGAATATAACCTATTAACATATTTATAAGTGCGAAAATTGCTTACAGGAATTTAAAGTGGTAGATATATTTTGTATTTTTTAATTTATTAAAAGTCGGGATAAAAGCTAAAAGATGTGCAAATTTTTATGTTCTAATAAAAAGTTGAATTATAAATTCAAATAACTAATTAAATTTAATTTTTTTAAAAAAAATTTCAAATAAAAGTTGTTTGTAATATCATTCTCTATAATTCTTATTCCACACAAAATTTCTCTAAAATAGACCGTATTCGATTTATTTGAGAAAACGTAAATTTTGAATTTAAAAAAAAACAAAAAAGGAAACAGAGAAAAACAAAAAATTTTAAATTTAGTCTGTAATCCATCCTGCGGTAAAATGATTAAATTTTGGTAGTCGTAACATCTGGGGGATACCTTATAGAGGGTCGTTTTTCTACTTTATGAAATATATCTGTTATTTACACTTAGAGAAGAAAATTCTTCAAATAAAAGTTGCATATAATGTTATTCTCTATAGTTTTTGTTATATACATAATTTTTCTAAAATGTTCCATATTCAAGAAATTTGACCAAAAGTGAAAAATTCCAATTTGTAAGAAAATTGCTCAAATAATAAAGTTATTTACGAAATTATTCTCTATAATTTTTATTCTTTATATAATTTCTCTAAAATGGACCGTATTGGAAGAATTTGAAGAAAAATATAAAATTTAAATTTTTCAGTATTTTCGTTGTCAATGAATATTTACAGGGGTTGTACAAAATAACCGGAAAAAGATTGTAATAACTAGACAGGAAAGTCATGTGTTGGACACATCAGATTTTTAAATATAATGTTTTGAGTGTCGTGACAGTGACAGTTTATATTTATTTTTAAGAGAAATGAAAATAAGTATTGTACTAATTGTTTTTCAAAATATATGAAATGATTATAATTTCACCTAATGTCTACCGACAAAAGACCGGTAGGCCTTCGTTCAAGCTGACGGCCCTCTTTCAGGCAGTGGGCCCTCTTTCAGGCAGTGGGCCCTCGTTCGGGCAGTGGGTCCTCGTTCGGGCAGTGGGTTCTTGTTTAGATTTTTTGTTTGCAGATTACATTATAAGGTTTATTGACAAAGTCCAAATTGACATAACATTTATACCTAAGACTTAATTAGGCAGGATCGGTTTCGTGGCCAATATAAATCAAACAATTTTTGTCATAAAATATATTTATTGTGTTATCTTGCTTGTTGTATTTTAATATTCACTGTTAATGTAATAAACTGATAAAGCATTGTATGCTTAACTTTAAACCTAAGAAATTGCATAGGTACCTACATAAATAATCTGTCTATTTTTGCAAGTTTTGGTCAAAAATTTGTTTAGGTAAACTTTAATACGATGGAAATTAACATATTTTACTGAAGTACATTGCTTTTAAAATTCTATGTCATAAAATTTTGTTCCTAAGTTATGTTCATAGGAAAAATTGTATACATAACTCGTTGAAAATCGTTATTTCTGTACTCTCACTTTCCAAATTAGTTTTGGAATATACCATTTTTTTTACTTCTTTTATGCTTCTAAAAAAATGTATTGCATTTAACTTCTCCCAAGACATAATTAAAAATAATAATTTTTTAATGGGAGGAACTTCCTACAACTAATATTTCTAAAACCATTACACATAATCTGGTGGTCTGCTCATCGCAGGTTCTGTCTCCGACCTACGTGTGGTAGAAGTTCTTGCTTACAACACTGAGTATCTAACGCAAACCACATAAAAATAGTACTAAAATTACTTACGTCCTCCAATATTGTTACAGGTTCTTTTTCTTTTTAAAGAACAACACAAATAGTTTTTATTAATTTTAGATTTTCTTTTTGGATTTATTTATTTTTAAAAACTAAATATACAACAACGCAATCACCGCACAGTCACAGAAACAATAGATGCACACGTTATGCAGTCAAATTTAGTATAACCTACTGTTATTGTATTGTACTCTTAGGCCCGGTTTTTAAATGTAATGTTAACTTGGAGGTTAACTAACTTCTACTTGAAGGTTAACTTTTAGTTAAAATAAGAAACGTTGTATTTTTATGTGTTCTGTGATGGTTCTTTGGTATTCTCCCGGTGAATATATTGCCTTTCATCGTGGGTATTCTAATGTTGTTTTCCTTGATGAATGACATATTCAAACTAAAAAAGAAAGATAACTTATAAAGATTTAAGAAGACGCCAAATTTTCAATTGTTGGAATTTGGAATGTTTCTATAAATCTATTCAAGAATCTATTATTTAGGCAGAGACAACATTTAACTGTAGGTCCCGAACTTCATCAATGATCATCTCAACAGTCCGCTTCGACAATCTAAATATTTTGAAAAAATCTAAACTAACATATTGTTCCATAAAATTAAGCCTCTGTCGAATTATTTTTGGCCTTCTCACTATTTCTTCCTCTTCGCTATTGTAGACATTAACAATATTTAAAGCATCCATAATGTCAAAGCACATGTAGGTTATAAAGTGAAGATTATCTCTTAACAATGGGTTAACAGTACCCTGAGAGTAAAGTTAAAATTAGCTTTCGGTTAGTCTTTAACTATCAATTGAAACAGAAATGTTTTAGTTAACATTCAGTTAGCTCAAGGTTAGAGTAACTACACATTTAAAAACCGGCCCTTAGTACTTTTAGTAATTAGGAATTTTTAAAACAATGGGCGTGTCAAGCGTTTGATCTCCTTTTTTCTTTTACCCTGTTCTTTAGTATCCGGTCGGCGTAATAAATAATTATCATAGGAAGGTAATAGGTAATTAGTAAATTATATTTCTTGTTTGGAACTAAGATTTCTTACAAAACCATTTGCTCAAATTTAGGTATATTGTTTATAAAAATTCTTTACGGATTTAAAATTATTTTTCCAACGAAGAGATTCTAATAAAATACATGCATTTTAGCATTGTATTTATTTAATTTAGTATATAAGTAACTAATATTTAATGTAGCCTTATTATTTATATAGTCCGTAATAATTATAATTACGAGATCGTTAATTGTATATGTGTTTCAATAAAATATCTACGCTTAGCACTTTCAGTGTTATGTTTTCCAGTGTATGCTGAGAATCCCGTCTCTAATGGTCTACGTATTACTTAGTTCTAAAAAAATCCGCCGGGTTTTGCGATGGCAGCAAAAATCAGTGGCAATTACTTAAATTTTATTTTGATCATATCTCTCTTATTTGGTGAGAAAAAATTCTCCGGTTTTTTTTAATCGGTTTTAAATTTTACTTGTAAAGGAGGCTGTTTTTTAGAATTTTAATTTTTATCGTAGTTTAAAAAATAAAAATTTCATAATTTTTTTTTCAAAAATGTAAAAAACACGCTCCAATTGTATAAAAATTACCAATCGACTAGTGAAAACAAAAAAAATATATTTTTAAAAATAAGGACGTTACGGTCAAAAAACGAAATATATGTGGTGTGCGGGGCTCTTAACGCTCAAAGTAGCCTTCCGCGCGCCTTTTTTAGGTTGCGCGCACGGCGTCGAAACCGAATACGTTACATAAAATAATTTTTTTAAGTTAATACAATTATATTCAAAAATTTAAA